TTAAAAATTCTTAAAAACCTTTGAAGATTTTCGAAGATTTCTCCGGAAATTTTCGAAAATTTTTTTTGAGTGGAGATTTCTAGAGATCTTCACCAAAAAAATTTCCTGATGTATATTAATATTGTAGATAGTTCCTTTCTTACTTTTTCCTGTTCAAGAGTTTTTTATTTAAAAATATATCTACTATAATAGGTGGTAGACTAATATGTACATTTGTCTATATATCTCATATCTTAAAAATTAATTATGTAATAATAAAAATTATGATATTAATAAAGATTATAAGACATGTCTCACCTTAACAAAAAAAAAAAAATTATAAAATTAATATAGAATATAGAATATCTAATTAAAATAATTATTAAAAAAATAAATAATAACATAATCTACAAATAAATAATAAGTAAAAATAATTTTATAGTGTTTAATATTTTATATTTAAGTATTTGTTTATTTAATTTAAACAAGTATTTATTAAATGAAATATAATAAGAAAAATTTCAAATAATTTTAATTAGTTTTGTATTATTTTATTTTATATTTATATTTTATAATTTTAGTAAAAAAAATATTACAATTTGAATTTTTAATATATGAACTATAGAAATAATTTTCAAGCAATAATTTTATATAATATTTAAATTTTAATTTTATTCAATAAGCAAGCAACATTTTTATTTTTATAAACTATATTTAAAGATCTTGTATATTAATAAACAAAATAAGTTAAATAGATTTAAACATGTAATCATTTTTATTATTAATTTTATATACAAAAACAATTTACAATAAATAATAAATTTGATAATTATTATATTGAAAAAAATGATGATAATTATTTTTTATTAACAAGAAAATAAATAAAAAGGATGTATTGCTACAAAAATATTTTATATAAATACATTTGAATTTTTAATTCAAATTCCATTAATAATAAAATATTTACAAACAAGTTATTCTTTTTTTCAGGTAACAATATATTGTATTTCTTATTGAAACAAAACAAAACAAGTAAAAAAAAGAAGAAAAAGAAAATAATTTAACTTGGTTATTTGTTTTTTCGTTTTTCTTAAAGTCCCAGAATCAATAGTTGCTATGAATCAGAAATTAGTTAAATAGCATAAATGCTTTATACTATTATAGAAGCCAATGGATATTTTAATTAACAATTACTAGCAAGGATGGCCTTTATTTGTTAAATGAAATATTGTCAAACCTGGTTATAACAAACCTCTACAACGAATCCTGGATATTACGAACTTGAATTTTTTAAATTAAAAAAGTATAATGGTTTCTATATAAACCATAGTAATTTTATCCAAAAAAAAATTTTTTTTTATAGAAACATTGAGTTCGTTATAAAGAGGTTTGACTGTGTTCATTTAATAAATACTTTTGTCCGCTTAGAGCATACAGTAAATACAAATAAAGTAATGAGCAAAACATAAATGAAGTTGTACCGAACAAAAAAAAAGTACAGTATACCGTAAACTATATAATAGTTACTCAAGTCCCGATAAATATAAGAATTAATCAAATGATGAGTTTACGAACACCCTGGCATCTTTTGAAGATATGAATCATTCAACAGAAGCTTCATATTAAACTCCGAGAATCTCATGGAAAACTTAAAACGCAACCAAATTTCCCAAACTTTTAGCAGAATTTTCTCGATTGGCCTCAGGCGTTTCCTGTCATACAGTATGTCTATCTCAAGATTATAATAAAATTGACTTAATTTTCGAATAATAGGTGATTTAACAACGGAAATGTCTTCGTCAGGGATGCAATATTAATTTAAATATCCTATTGTTCATCAAAAGGATACCACATTTATTCACATAAACCTATTCTTTATATATTGTGGAATTGTTTGCTTAATTATGTTTATGTTCCGAATTACGTATAAGTCATCCGAGATACTTGTTCTTTTTTCTTTGGTCGAAATTTGATCTCAATGAAACTGTTGGTTATTTGAAGGAAATCCACACCAAATATTGAATTTCCATCTATGCTTTTAATATTATCTCAAGGAAGTCCTCGGTTTTAGATGAATGAAATGACTAATTCATGTGTTCAACAACGTGGCACCTCATTTATCACAGAAATAGTTGTCCCACTCGACTCGTAAATACGCAAAACTCGATTCTCGGTGCAATTCCAATTCTATTAATGCATTTAATTTACTATATCATCTAATATAGAAATTACAATAATGTGATATCTTAGTGCACTACAAATATTGGTTATATAAGCATGCATCTATTGACAGCAGGTTGCAGTATATTAAACTCTATCATCATATTTTCTTGGTCTGCATGATATTTCACCAATTATGATTCCTTTCAAAAATGTTTATTTATTCCTTTTCATATAAAATCGACATTCCACATCAGAGGATGCTTACCATGACAAAATTAGAAAAAAAAATCCTTAAACTTATTTTTTTTCCAAAACCTTATTGTAAACAAATAATTTATATTTTATATAATCGCGAAGATGAGGATGTATAGAAATTCAAGACACCTGGTAAAATTAAGGGTTGGTCAATTTGTGCTGAGTATTATTTGCTTAGTTTTAGGTATTTCTTTTTTATGTTAACACGTCAAACTTCATGCAATTTTTGTGACGAACCTCTTGCTAATTTATTTGAATGCAAATAGAATTTATACAGATCACAGAATTTATCAACATGATCAAAGTTTTAATTCAAGAAGATGTCCCTCTATCGTTATATTTTGTGCACGAAGGCTCGTAAGTTGAATTAAAGAATATTCATACGGAGATATTGTAAACTCAATTACAATGTCGAAAGCTAATGTGACGTCGAACATTATTAGATACAATGGTCAAGTAAAAATATGGTTCTATATTGTTATAGGTCTATCAGTTATAACATTAGGTTAGTTTAAGTGGTCAAGGAGTTTCCGATCTCTGAATAAAGTTAATCGATTTTGTTTTTTACTTTTAGGATATTATCTTATTCATTTTAAAAAGATATGGAAAAATGGACCTTATTTATGGGTGGAAATGTATGTAATTTATGTTTTTCACGTGCCGGTTAATTTAAAGATCACTTGATTAATCATATAATGATTGATGTAGTTTCTTATTTCTGATGTGGCTATCATCCGGTAAAAGTAATAGGCATTTCTTTTTCTCGTATTTTACTACACTCTTTCTGATTATATATCATAAAATTCCAATAGGTCTTGCGAACGGTTACCCAATATACGGAGGTGGTCTAGTATGTAACACTGACGACTATAACAAAAAACCATCTCAACACTATTATTGGGTATGGTGTTGGTCGTATGTAGCTAGCCTAGCAGTAGGATGGATAAATATCATCTTATTTTCGGTTTCTATTTACTTTGCTCGGATCATTCTTCGCGAAAAGAAAAAGCAGGCTATGTATGATGAGGTAATTAAAAAAGAAGATGAAAGCTATCGAGAGCGTCGGAGAAATGAAGCAATTCAGGTTGAAAATGAATTAAGGCATGTAGAACTCGTACACGATGGAAATGAAGTCGGGGAAATTATTGAGCTTGAAGAACTACCGAGGAGATCAATCGGAAATAGCATGTGATATACTCGACTTAATTTAATAGACTTTAATTATAAACACAGTAACTGTAATGTAATATAATTCAATAATGTAAATAATAAAAAATATAGATGGGTTATATACATATGCTGTATTATAGTAGACTGTACATTAGTAGACATGTATATTAGATATTAGTATACAAAATCGGATTACGAATATCCGGCAAATGATTTAATTCGGCTATTTATAGACGGGTTATTAGTAGGCTTCGGGTATTAATGTTACCTTAACTCTATCTCTTATATAACGGCTTAACTATTGTTGCAGGCCCAATCGGCGATTCGGTCGTCAATCCTAATTAGTTCTTCGCGTAACGTAGCGTTCGGAATGCGAGAAATAACGAATAAAGGGGTTTTCTAATGCGTTAAATCACGTGATAAAATTCGTTGTCATGTTACATGACAATGCAATAGTTTGGAAATTGATACATAGCATATTTTTTAAAAAATAAATGTATAATTTAATTAATTATTCCATACTATTTTTGCTTTTTAGTAGCTATATAATACACAACTTTGAATATATACAGTGTTGCAAAAATTTTTTGGAATTTTTTATTTATCTGTTATTCAAAAACTATTGCATAAATATTAATAAAAAATTTATTAAAATAAAATTTAAAACCTAAGAATTACAATAATATAAATTTTATATAAAAATATTGTTTAAATTTTTTGAAATTAAATTTAGAAATCAAATTTTTTAAGTATTAATAAAAATTAATTACAAATAAAAATTTCATTAAAATTATCAAACTTTTATAAATTTGAATACAATACATTTAAAAATTTGTTAATTTAATCTATAGATTTTTTACTTTTTTAAAAGAATTTTTATATAATTTTTAATTAGTAAAATTTAAAATTTTATAACTTTGTAAAGTTAAATGAAATTAAATCTAAAAATTGATTAATAATATTATTATTATATCTTTTTTATAAAAAATTTCAAAAAGATTTGTAACACATTGTATATATATAAATTAATACTATAAATAATTTATTGATTATAATTTAAAAAATAATATAAAATTATATTTTTTATATTATTATTATTTTTTTTTTTTCCCTCAATCAGGTTGGTGTCATTTATTTATTAAATCAAGATGAACCATTACAAATATAAATTACATGTATAAATTTTCCTGACCCAGCTCACCCATCTGTAACAAAGAGTCTCTAGATGCAATTTAAGAGGATCATACATTACTTATCCATTAGTTAGGATTAAGATCCTGTTTGTTTAATAGAGTCAAAGCCTGCAAATTATTTCTACAGATCATATGCCATAAATCCAGATTGAGTTTTTATTTAAGCGCTAATAATTTTTTTCCACTTTCTATAAACTCCAGTATTAGTTCTCTAACTTTGTCTAGTTTGTCTATATAAACTTTCATCTTGTGCCTTATTTTTTCTCCCCTTTTCTTTCTTTTGTTGTTCTGATTATTTGAAGACTGGGTACTGGTAGCACTGTTAATTTATGTGGGCCTGAAAATATGGTTTTCTAAGCTAAAGTCCATATTTGAACTAAGTTCTGTCGGTGACAAGAGTGTAGGACCTTTTTTGATCTTTAGGTTTAAGTCCATGGTTTGATTAGCTGCTATTGTAATACTACATCTGTGTCTCCATATCAATTTTCTGAATTGCTTGAGGAAGCTAGTAGCAGTCTTGCATAACAGTTGCCAGGCCTTGGATTGAGTGATCTTGATACTTGTTTGTTTGTAAAGTTCTGTGGTGTGATTCTTCGATATTAGTCTGATTACAAAGTTTAGCCTTTTATTTTTTTCCTGAAACACCTTTTGCATTAGATATGTTGTGACTGCATCTAAATTAATTATTTCTATATGTTAAGTTTTTGCAGACTTTTCGAAGGTTTCTTGTAAACTTTTGCATGGCTTTTAACCATACTTCGCTAGTGTGTTCTTCAAGTCCAAGGCATATAAATAAGTGTTCTTTTGTCTCGGGCTCCATGCTATAGATTCTGCAACTATTGTGTATACTGTAAAGCCAGGGTTTTCTTATTTTGAGTTTGTTTAATGTCAGCAGTTCGTTGTGCAATAACTTAATCCAGAAGCTTTTCTTCTTGTATTCTTTAAAGGATGTGATTAGTCTATTAAGTTTAATATTGCTCCAGAATTGCCTCCAGGTATAGCTTCTTTGTTGATCAATCTGTTGTCCTAAGAGCTGTCATATTCTTCTGGTTTTTACTCAGGCCTTCACATTTACTGTTTTGTTAACTTCCTTAATAAAGTTTCTTGGGGCTGTATCTACTACCTTGTTGTACCAGGTGGTGATAGTTTGAATATATTTGCCGCTCGATAGGTGCCACGCAATTGCTGATAGTTGAATTGCTTGTTTAGCAAGCTGATCTGCTTGCTTATTATACTTGTTGCTGGAATATGCTTTGATCTTATTGAGCTTGAGCTTGAGATCTTTTTTCCTTGTGATTTTTATAATGTCTTGCCAGATTGACCAGCTATTGATTTTCAAACATCTTTTGTAGGTCAGCTTGGGGTTGGCCTTGGTGAAGATGTTGATACAGTTTTGGCTATCAGTGTAAATGGTGACTTCCTTTTTTCTTGGTATTGTAAGAATCGCTGTCAAAATAGTGGTGGCCTCTGCTCTGCATAATGATGACCAGTTTTGAACTCCATATTGAAATCTGCTATTGGAAGTAGACCCTTGAATTTGAATCCATGCAGTACTTATTTTGCTCTCCTCTTTGCTTATTCCTCTGTTTAGCAGAGACCCGTCTGTGTAGAATTCATATTGACAGAATGTTTGTATAGTGTTTGAGGGCATTGAATACTTGTTGTTAAGCAGAGATTTTGTGAGGTTCTCTTTGTAATCTTTTGACTTGACTGTTTTTTTGATTAGGTCTATGTCCCAGTCCAATATTATGACCTCCTGAAATTTGGTTCTCTTTGTGTGATCCGGTGGCATTTTGAATATTGCCATTGCTTGTTTTTTTAGTATATAGGAGTTGCATGGAATTCTTATTTCTAAGGTTCTGTTGTTGCCATGTGTTCTGTTTAGAAGATCACAATCCAAGACCCTCTTTTCTTCCACTTGGATTTTGTTTAAGCTTTCTGATTGTAACAATACAAATGGTGAAAGGAGTACCACAATATATGTTACACAAGTGGCACAGACAAGCCAATAGAAGGAGCATTGCAATTGGAATACAACTATTTAAACTGTATCTCTTTAGGATATCTGGAACTTGAAATATTAATGGAACTATATTTCTATAAGTCTTACGAATATTTGTCACATCCTGTGATGACTAGGACCCGAGTTAAATATGGAATTATCATTGGTATCTGGTAAAATACCAATA